ATTGTCCTCAGAGCGGGTGGATCCTATTTTTTCTGCCCATTCTTGAGCGAGTCGTCTCGCGAAGGATCCGAAAGTGTCACACCTTGTAACTTTGTGTCGTAGCGAGGCGTATCCTTCAGTTCCATATTGTTCATTGACAGAAGGCGGGAGAATATTTCTCTGCCTTGCAAGAGAGAGTCTATATATCACAGCTGCATTGCAGATTTGCATACTTAGCAGCCGTGCAATAATAGATATTACAGGGTTCTCACTTATATTCGTTCTGGCCAACGTCTTCAAATACCTGGAGATAACATCTACGCCTCCCTTTAAGTTGTTCCAGAATACAGCTGGGGTCAACCTGATCATCCTGCAGGGCGGTATCGGGGATCCCTGTTTCAAAACTTCCTTTCTGATGGCCTTGCTTAGATTATAATACGACACAAAGCTGTATAGATCAGATGCATGACTATCTTTCAACAGTTCGTCGTATTCTTTTGGCACGAGTGACGCATCCAATCCCACCCAAGAAAAAACTGAGACTCTAACACAGTCCAGACAGTATGTATAGCTGTGTCGCAGGGACTCAGAAAACTCAACTAGACATGTGTAAATGATATTACCTTCAACCATGGACCCTCCAGTGCCGACAACAAATGCCACATGGTTCATTCCTAGCGTAGCACAGTGATGTAGCACCTGTGCTCTGTACTGTGTAGATGGCACAAGTTCTCTGAACAGTTCAGAGCTTTTGTCATCTGTGCCAACATTCTCCAGCGATATAATAGCACCATACTTCTCTCTAAGTACTACAGCCCCTTCTATTGTCTGCACCGCGGACATGGTCTTAATTTCGACTGCATAGACCGTAGTTAAATTGTCCCCATCAGTAGCTGCCATGACAGCATCCGGGCTGTCAGCGACCATAGAGCAGCTCTGGCTTTCTAGAAGTCCGGTTGTCCGAATGTAGTTCACAGTTAAACTGTGGTAGTGATCCCAACTATATGTAGACGAACACAGTCCCCTCTTGTACGCACCCAAGTGCCCCGCGAAGAAGTTAGGAATTGCTCGGATAATCTCCATTTCGTTGCGAGTGCCTTCCTTCATGCCAGCGGTTGGCACTAGGGGCTTCATGACCCATGATGTCAATGAGGCTTCTCGAAACAAAATGCATATTCTTTTTGCTGCCTGCTCAGCCATCTCATCATCAGTTGTATGGTCGGCTTCATTCCCACCGTCCGTAGACACAGACCTAGACAGTATATCTGCCTTAAGCTGCATTACAGCGGCCACAACTTCGGGCTTGTTAGCACGACTATCCACTACACGCCCAAACACAGATAGAAAGTTAAGCAACTCAGGTTTTGTAGTTGCAGAAATTCTGCTTGCAGAGCTATTTGAAATGCGGTCTGCAAGAGAGGCACGGGAAGATGGGCGGGGCATGCATCCTAATGCCATTCCTAGGGTTCTGAGAACCTGCTCCCATTTCGGCCTGAGGTATTCCCGAACAATGACATGGTCTTCAGACAAAGACTGTGCCCCAATAGTTAGCACTTTCTCCCGCAACAGCCATGATAGCCCCCCCAATAAAGCCTCGTAGTCGCTAGCCAATGCGGCTTTAAAGCCATGGGCAGTGCGTGATGTGAAGCGGAATGCACGAAGGAGGAACCAAACCGGGTCCTCCGACTGATAATATGTCAGCATGGTGCACCTGCTAAGAAGCTGTTCAACCTTGTTTTTGCCATGATTAACTGTGCCCGATCGGACCGATTCGGACCTTGTCGGCCGATCCCCGCATTTTTGGTATTCGTCAAAGGCTACCAATGACTCTTGTAGCTTCTGTACAGAACTTTTCGTTCGAAAAGAGTCACGCAGCACAACAGTGAAGCATCTGGAAGGGAACAGGGATGCATTATTGTGAACCAGGGCAGCAATTCTCCCAGAGCAGCTCTCTCGATAAACACAGGCCTCCGCGCGTCGAACCTGGGAACTGCGAGCCCCCCCGCCCTTCAGTTGGGCCGTGTACACAGCACGGCAGCCCCTCTCAGACACGTCCATCCCTCGGTGCCTTCTTGAAATTGGGCCTTCGCCAAATACAAACGGGTACCATAAATCCCTCTTATGGGTACCCAGCAGGCTTGCACCTAGTTTGTCGGACAGAAACGAGATTGTTTCTTTAGAATTGTAGCCGCGATCGGCAGCGAAGATTGCGTTCGGCATAGGGCGTAAAGCTCCGGTCGTAGATGCCCCCTGCACCATCTGGATAAGCCTCTCCCAAGTATGCAACAGTTTCTCACCCGTGCGCGTAAAATGACAGGCAATAAAGAAAGGGTTCAGAGCGGAGCATAGTGCGTTACCTACAGGCCCCAAACCCTTCTTAGGGTTATTGTGTTGTCGCAAGTAGGTAAGTTCAACAACAGCCCGCGATGCCATACGCAAATGATCGTCATCTAACGAGAAGACAGTTGCGTTTTGTACATAAAGTAGGTCACGGTTGACGGCTGCAACCTCGGCTTCTATCTCAGTTATGAGAGTCGTTGCTCTGTTCGCTGTACGGGACCATCCCGTGCTACTGTAGTCGTGTGTGGCACGGGGCTCCTTCGAACCACTGAGAGCCCCCCAGACATCATAGTAGCGGTCTGCAGACAGACCCATTTGGAAGAAGTGGCCGCTTTCGAGGGGGTCACAAACCGTAGTCGGCGACTCGTTGTACGAAGCACAAAGAATATGTAGAATAAGCATGCCAAGTATCTCTTTCTTTGTTGTTGGCGCTTTTTTTCTCTCGTGCAAGACTCGGTTTGCTACATACCGAAGTTTTTCCAGCAGACACTCAGTAACAAACGTCTGCATACAGGACAATGGCGTTAATAAAGTAGCGGCGTCATCTCTACCATCCTGGTCATCCTTTCTACTGGAAATGTCTGCAACAACCCGGTCGAGTGCAGTGTTGGCTTCTTCTACAAATCGACCCTCCAGACTCCGATTCACGTTGTCGATTTTCACGAATACTTCGTCGAAAGGGCTATCATAGTGCCAGCCATCGAGACCGTCACTTCTTTGCGCTTGAGCACGCTCCTCCAATTCCTCTGCTGAGACCGGGACGCATAAATTCATGGCCTCAGCGTCGACATCGGCCCAATGCTCTCTTGAGTACCTCTCCTCATCAAAATCGTAATATATCCTACTGAAGAGGTCCTCACATAGAGTGGCACCAGAGTCTGTTTGCTCCATTACGTCTGCCAGATAGGTAGTTGGCTGCAATGCACGTACTTCGGCTTCGTTAATTTCCGTCTGGAGTTCAATGTCAGAGAGAGGCACTTCGTCTGCGGAGGAGTTGCAGCTGCTAGACACAGGACGTTCTTGGGAATATGGAACGTCACTGGCGTCCAGTGAGTCTGTAAGCTCGAATAAGGCCCCACCATTAACTACCTGGTGCCCGTTTGAACGCTGCAAAGTCAGGGAGGGGGTATGTGGGGATACTTGTCGTCCGGGCTGTGCAGTGTCGGTACGGGGGGCTGGTGAAAACTCTTTGTCCTCAAAAAAAACCGGCGAGGACTGCAGGGAGGTCCATGTAGCTGGAAGTGAGGTATGACGCAGCTCTGTCTGTGTCAGAGGCGGTGAAATGTCCTCATATAGCTCTGAAGGCTGTTGTTCGGGATACAGATCCCTACGGATGGGTTGAATCCTCTCTGGTAATATTTTTAGCCTCTCTGGCGAGGCTTGTAGCGCACTGGCCTGCTGAGGCCCGCAAAGAGCGGTTGCATCAAGACTGTCGTCTGCGGAGATGCGATTGTTGGATATTTTTTCCACCGGGGACCGTGCTCTGTCGCCCATAGCGAGAGGTGGCCAGAAGTCTCAGAGAATGTGGACAGTGCGGGTATTCGGTGATTGGTGGGATGGAACAGGCAGATATCACAAAGGGCAGAATCCCGCGAGACACAGTGAGATTGGGGGAAATTTTGGTTGAGTTTGTTGACGAAGAGCACTTTGTGAGACGAAAGGCACTTGACTGTGTGAGGTGTCTGATCGTGGTGGTGCGCTCACACACAACCGTCTCAAACGGCACACTAGTTTTGTGAACTGTGCAGTTTAGGGTTGACGTTTGCGAACTTCTTGAATGTTCACACAAATTCATCTCAAAAAGTGCTATAGTTAGTGTGATGTTTGAGATGCACCTGTGAGACGTCACGCAATGATCTCAAAAAGTGCTACATTTTATGAGACGTTTGAGATGAGGCAATGAGATCGTCTCAAAACCATCTGAAAAAGTGCTAAACGTCAACAAATGTTCACAAACGGTTTGTGATGTTGTAGACGGCGGCGGGCTCGGTAGTACAACTCTCACAAAAAATCTCACAAATCGTCTCACTTTTTGAGACGCCTATAATCGTCACAAACGGGAGCACAGGGATAAGGTAAGTGACACTATCTACAGTAACTGGGTGTACTGTCTAGGTGACAAATGACCTCATATGAGGTCACTTTTCAACTTATTTTTTCTCTACTTGCGCTAGCTCAACAAGATGGAAAAAGATACTCTCGCCACCGCAGTTGACTTCTGCGTTGCGGAAGGGCGGAGTTTGGTGAGATCTGTACGTCTTTTCCAGCCATTTTTAAAATGCCCAAAAAAGGAGCCTTTTTGACCAACCTCAAAACGTTTTATGTTGATTTCTTCGAAACCAAAACGCCTGTTTAAAAAGCCAACTCATCATTGAAGCTTCATTAGATTCTTAGTCTCTCTGTGCATTGGAAACTGCCATCCCAATGTTTTGCAAGATGTTAATGCCGAGGGCAAATACGTTAAAGAAATGGTGTCCAAACTGACTTTTTAAAGTTTCGATTTAATTTATATATTTTTTGCAAAAAAAACTGGCCTCATATGAGGTCAAATCGCTTGTCGTCTAGACACTAGACACTGGAGACCCCGCTCCCACTCGACCCAAGCACTTATCCGTACAGTTACACCGCACCCCAGTGTTCTCTCTCACCTCACATCACAGGAAAAAAGGTCTGCCCCCAGGATGCCACGCCGCTCAAAAAACAGCACGGACGGCGCCGTTTTCACTTATCATGAACGTCTCAAGATGGACCACGGCTCTCTCCATCGCCGCCTTCCCGGTGACGCCATGAAGCCCTGGGACCGCTGCGCCCTGGGTCTCTCCCGCCCGAAGGACCCCGTCGTAACGCCCGACGGCGTACTCTACGAGCGTGAGGCAATCCTCCGCGATTTGCTACGACAGCGCGACGAGGCGCGCCAGGCCCAGGCCGAGGCGACGAGACAGCGCGAGCAGAAGGAGGGGGAAGAGCTGGCCAGGAAGAGAGAGGCGGACAGAGCGGATATTGAAAGGTTTGAAGAGGCGCAGAGGGAGGTCGTTCGTGGGGAAGGACGTCCTGCTGCGGCTAGCGATGAAGGGAAACAAAAGAGGAAAGCGATTAATGCTGACTCCAATTTTTGGGTGCCGAACATTCCCGTGCGTTTACCTGCGTCGCATGAGCAGCTTCGCGCCAGTAAGAAGAGGGCTCGCATATCTTTAAAGACTAAATGTCCGATCTCGAAGAAGCCGTTGCGCTCTAAGGATTTAATCTCGCTCAGGCTGACGCCCAACGTTGTTGGCAGAGAGGACGGAAAGGAAGACAAGCCCAATCACGCGGATAAATACATGTGTCCCGTATGTCAAGCGGTACTCGTCAACGCTGTGAAGCCTATTGCGTTACGCACAGGGTCGGTGTTGTGTTCGCGTTGCGTGTCCCAGTTCGTCATCAAGGAAGGGAAAGATCCTTGCACCTCAGATAACATTCATGTCGACACGGATATAATTCCCATTTTCAATGTGGGGACCGCATATGCTGCGAGCGCCGGTGACGACCCCTCCTCGCTTGAAGCCTCTGTCTATAGGCCGTCTGCGACTTGATTATTGTGCTTTCGATGCTCCAATGGTGTCAGGCGAAAGGCGTAATTACCGAAGCCCTGAGTGTAAATGATTCTGCATGGCACAAGGTACGCCGGCGGGGGAATCCTGATTTGTCGGCCTGGCCGTTTCCGTCACCACAGGCCCAAGGCAGATACCGCGAGGTATTCACTTGCATGGTGGTAATTCCCCAAGAGCGTGCGCCAAAACGTCGACGAATAGCTCTACGTCGGCAAACGAATTGTATAACGGCGCCGGAGCTACTCGCAAGACGTCGGGCTCGCGGACGTCGCAAACGACACCTCGTTTTTCCAAACGAGCATTAAACGCATGCATATCTCCACCTTCCCATCTCCTAACTCTCTCCACGGCCAAACTCAACTGTGCCCCCCTTCTATGCTCATCCCTCGGGGAAACGATTTCCACAGCCCCCCCTAATTTCTTTTCGATCAAGCGCTCAAGAAACGCTGTCAGCTTGACACTCTTTCTCCGAACAGCTTCCATACCGCCTGCCCTTTCAAAAACGCGGGCCGCCTCGATGACAGGCACGATTGCGAAGACAGGTGGGTTGGACAACTGAAATCCTGGGGCGCCTCTTTGAGGGATGAAGTCTCTGGGCATCAAGAAACGGGAGGTTCGGTCATGGCCCCACCATCCCGCATGTCTGGGTAAATCTTCCGCTGCATGCTTTTCGTGTATGAAGACCCCTCCGACGGCGCCAGGGCCGGCATTGAGGTACTTGTACGAGCACCATACGGCGAAATTAGCCCCCCATTTGTGCAACGAAAGCGGAATGTTGCCCACAGCATGGGCAAGGTCAAAGCCAATTGGCACGCCGGCCTCGCGTGCGACTCTGCATGCTTCTGCCAACGGAAAGAGTTGACCTGTGTAGTATTGAACACCGGGGAGTAAGACGAGGGCGAGACGGGAAGCTGCGCTCAAGTCTGATATGGTAGAGAGAATATCTTGATCACGCAGTAAGCGTTCACCGGTGCGCGGTTGTAGACGGACTATGACGCTGGCGGGATCCAGTCCGCGCGCGGTGATGTGAGTCTGTAGAGCATACTCGTCGGTGGAGAAGGCACCATCCTCAATTATTATGCATTTTCTATCGCCGTGTGGTCTGTAGAAGGCAGTCAACATGAGATGCAAGTTAACAGTAAGGGAATTCATGATGGCTACTTCTCCTGGTTTAGCCCCAACTATCGGAGCGACTGCAGCGGCAGCTGCAACTTCAATGTCTGCCCATGGGTCGGGGGTAGTGAAATGGCCTGCGACGCCGAGGGATGCCCATTTGTCAAGATGGGTTTGTAGTGCGGTGCGAACCGAGAGCGGTTGAGGCCCCAGGGAGTTGCCACAGAGATAAACGGGAGCAGGTATAGAAAAAAGGGTGCGGATAGAGCGGAGAGGGTCCGCAATATCAAGACGAGTTGAGTCTGGTGAAGGGGTAGAAGAGTCATGTCTTCCATGGTCAACTAGCATAGTTCTGACTAGTACGTAAGGGAAACTGGTGGGTGGCCCCGGGACGTGAGGTATGTACCGCCAGGCAGGGAAGATGCGAATGTCAATTCTTCAACGGATGCGGGATGGGCATGGAACAAGGAGGAGATGGGGACACTTCTATCATGGTACAGTACATGGAATGAGATGACGGAGGCCCGCGGAGGTACGAGCGGTGTCGTGGTATATGTGGATTTCGAGGGAGTCATGCAGCGGGTGGTCGGGAGCGCATGAGAGGCTGCAAGGCTGCCTTCCATGATAGGTTTGCATGCCTGTCCAGGTATCTTACCGCACCTCCTGCTCCCGTGCAAAGGGAAGATGTCCCCTGCAAGGGAAGATATCCAGTATGCCGAATATGCCACGTGTGGAGGCGGTGCTGAAGACAACATCAGCAAAAAAAAATCGCGAAACCGCGAAACGTGTTCGTACCGCATCCAAGGTTCGAACTTGGGACCCATGGCGTACTTGAGGGCTGAAGCATGTAAGACCATTGCTCTAACCACTGAGCTGACGTGTACCTGAGTAAGGTGTAAATACGGCTCGGAATGGGCGTTTCGCATCTTGCTGAAGTCGAAATTTTTTACGTATTTATACATCCCTTGAAACCTTTGTTCTCGGTTTGCTTACAGTAGTCTGTAAGCAAACCGAGAACGAAAACCGAGAACAAGAGTCTGATGATCCGCCCCCCTGATCTAGTGAAAAATAAATGAGACAGATTACTGTAAGAGCACCCCCTGCACTGATAAATTTACCCCCCACCCCAAGGTTCCGCGGGCGGACCTTGACGTCCACCCGCATGATACTGTATCGGCCCACCCTAGCATTTGAATAAAATTCCCACAGGCTACTAAACCGGCCTTATCGTGTCACCCGCAACTGTGAGTCCTTCAAGCCTGTTCTGTGATATGGCATCGGCCGCCCCTCGATCTAGTGAAAAATAAACCACGCAGGTTACTAAAGGCATGTGAAGGTCTTAGAGTAGAATGCGCTTTTTGATAGGCAGAAAATCTAAAATCTAAACCCATTTGAGTGGACTGAGCGCGAGTACAGTACAGTACACCGTACTCGTACAGTATACTACGGGAATACCTGATGGGTTACTGAGGGGTCCTATTTTCTATTGGGCCATTCTCTTTTATCGCAGGCTACTATGCACAGAGGCGGAAACGAACGCATTCGGCAGATTTGAAGCTACTACACACGTCCCGGAAGCTTGCTTCTCGTTTTTATATCTCGGTGTGCATCACCACGAAAGGCCTGTCTCACAGCGGAACAACGTTGAAACTTCCGTATCTAATTGTAGTACTTCAAATGAGTTCTTCCTCAGGACGCAACGCTAGTGGCAATTCTCAATCCCAATCATCCCCATCTGGAGGACTCACGTCTTCAGCGCAAGGGACAAATGAATCAGGCAATAACAGAGAATCGCAGGGTCAGTCATCCGGAAACGCCTCCTCTGCCCCAAGACCTGTACCCATTGCTCCTAGTGCTGGTCCAACACTGGATGTATTGGGTATCGCGGAGGAAGAATTTACTTTCGAATGTCAAGTGGAAGGATGCACAAGACGATTCAAGCATAAAAGCTCGAGAAGTAGGCATAAAACGAAGTGCCACCCTTCCTCGCGAGCCACACCTCACTCTTAAGCTTGTATTACACCTGTGTGCAAGTCCTGAGAAAGTTTTGTATCGGACCCAGGCCTTTCTCACTCATCTATGCAGATTAGACGTCACGTAGATGCAGGTCACGGTGTGATGTTCGAAAACACATGGCCACCACTCTCCCTTTCGCCGAATCACCGGATGACTAGTAGAAGACCACTGGTATTCTTCTCCACTCAAGACGGTATGGCCGCAGCAGCTCTGGGCACATCAATGCGTGTATTACTGGTGAACTGCAGCAATGAGAGGGTTTTTATTACGCATACGTCAGGACGTCAGGTCACGAGACATCACAGAATGAACGCCCGCACGCATTTATCTAGTGAGTTGTCACACATTTGTCGTAAGTGCGAGGATTTCGTAACGGTATCAACTCATCGTGGACGAGCCGGAACGAAAGTATCGTGAGCGCAAGCATGTGCAATGCCATCCCGCATGTGAAGTTTGGATTTTGAATTAGGGCACCGATGCGGTAGGTTGCCAGTTGAGATATTTGGAGTTCGATTTGCAGAAACATGTATGGTACGTGGACTGCTTGGCCCATAGGATCATCGACCGTTTGGGAGCCAAGGGAGATATGTTTTTAACGAACCGCCAGATTTCTTAAACCTACCCATGACAGGAAGGCGCATCATATGGCCAACTCAACTGCTTCTCAAACGTGAATGAATGACCTATAATATATTTCAGGAGCCACGTGGTTATTCTCAGGCCGTGAGTGGTGGCCAGAATCCTTTCGCGAAATGGAAAATCCTATCATTGATATCTCGATTCGATATTGTACTGTTGGATGTGTACACCTCTCGTGATTTGTCAGGGATCTTGGTCAGACGATTCTGGCGATCAAGACGCAGGAATAGTGCTCGATGAGAGATGTTTCTGTGTCCAGTGCTTCCACTTTTTCGAATTCTTTTGTGCTGGGGCATAGTGCGTCTCTGAGATCGTTCAAAAAGGCACGCTTAGAATGATTTCGCGCATGTGCTGCTCCAGTATGGGCCGCGGCGGAGATGTAATGCGTCAGAAACCGTTTGGTTGGGCATCCAGTGGCCACATTTGGCCATCTTCTGTGCCAGGTGGTTTTATTGGTACCGTGCAGTTCTTTGACCCCCCTAACAATCTGCGGCATTCTTTATCGCACTTTCCCTAACAACTAAAGAGATGCGGGATCGTGTTTTTTTCGAAACCAAAAGTAACGGCCTCCCAAATGAAGATCGGAAAGTGGAAGTTTGGTTTATACTCGAAACACGAGACTTTCAGCAAACTGTCAATGGGGAAATTCCGCACACAAGCAGGTGGTCGGAGTGTGCCTGGTGTGCCTGTAGCCTCATAGACGGCCTTTACAGTTGCGAATGCCCGTCCGCGACAAGTCTCATGGACTTATTGGTGACCATGGTAGTCCTGTTTCGCACGTGGTAATTCAGATTTTGCTTCGAGGCTAGATGAAGAGTTCGTACTTTTTGAGTAAAAGACACATGCAAGTGGAAATAAATCATTGGCAGAAGACCAGAGAGAGAGGTGACCGCTAAACTTTTCTGTGCACCGAAACAGCTTTCTTGCTTCGAAGCTACTGCTGGATACTCACAATTATATCAAGAGGTCCGTTTACACAAACGACGGACAGGGGTTCACGGCAGATTATGAACCGTACTGTACTTTTTTATTCATTGGGAACGCTCTCAAACACTGTACGCTACGGAACCCGGTTGGTTGTGAGCACACACACACACACACACACACACACACACACACACACACACACACGCATGCATATGTACACATGCATATGTACATATGCACACATACATATTTGGAACAGGGGATCAGGGATAAAAAAAGCCAGCAAAGCGCGCTATCTCTGCTGTTGCTGCTGCAGAAGCCGGGACATCCGCATTCGCATTCGAATTTAGGACACCCATAAAGTGCAGGAAACTCCTTACCTGATGTGCAGTACGTATGATTCCACCATTCGTGCTTGGGATTGTATCAACGCGCGCACGAGTGTCACGGCTGCCGGTTGATAAAACCTTGCTCGCCGTGGGTGTGCACTGGCTGTTGCTGTCGATGTCATTGGGTAAGATGATTAACGACAGTGCCTGGCTTGAGAAAGGGTGCTAACGGGTACTTTGCATGATACCTAGACGCAAGTGTGCGTCCTGACATCACCAACGTGCTAACGTGTTGTATGTGGACCTTGTGCGAGCCGCGCGACCACCAGGTTCGGCGAGTGAGAATATTTGCGAAATTTGTCACCAACGCAGATCTCAACCACTACAACAATGCATGTCCTCCCAAGGTCCCAAGACGCATTGTTGCCCAATCAGGTGGTCTGCACAAGCGTGTGGGGACCATCATGGTTTCTGGTCACAGGACGATTTTCTGGAAACCAAAAAGCATGTGGAAGTGTCTCTGCTAGCGTCTCCCTTTCGCGCAATGCAATCGTCGAACTGGTTCGCTCTCAGTACAGTAAAGCGCTCTCAGTACAGTAAAGCGCGTGCATCTCCCCACTTTGCCGACATCTTCAATCACGCCGATATCCTTCAGTTACTGTACATGACAGATCGTAAGACACTAGAATATGTGAATCAAGACAAAGCCCTCCACGTCCTAGTTGGCATTCTTTGTGGTTGCCCCTCCACTTGATCCATGGAAAATCTTACCAGGCCTTCCAATAGACCCCCATATTCCTCCCTTACGTGTCTCATCATCCTCTTCTTCCGACTGTGCGCCAACAGCACCCCCTTGTTGCGCCATGCCAGTGATCGCGTGGCCAAACAGTCCAGTCCCAGCGCCAGCCCCTGCCGCATTGTCTGCCCTAGCCGCCGCGACTGCCCTGTACTCTGCAACGGCGGCTGCAATGTCACCGTCGGAGAGTAGCTTGAGCTCTTCCCTAACATCTGCGACATCGTCGTTGACCATGGCCTCCAGGAAGGGGATGAGGTCCAGCAAGGCCGTATCACTCGAATCGCCCGTCCACTCAGGCACGATGATAGCGTTTTGCGGATGCAGGCCGACTTGCTTGGCGTCGTGGTCGATAACGACCACGCGGGAAAGGTCGCGGTTGAGAACATCTAAGTTCTTGATGTGGACCCCTCGTTTATAGTCTGTTTCTGCTCGATACAATTTATCGGTAATATAGCCATTGGGATCGAGCTTGTTCAGAATGGGCTCTGCATAACTATCGAGGGCAGACGTGAAGACGATGATCTCATAAAATGAGGCGAGGTAGGCCAAAAAGGCCTCAGCACCAGGGCGTTTCGCCACACGCCAGCCGGAAGCGCGGGAATAGGTAGAGTAAATGAGGGTGCGCTCGAGATCGATAACGAGGGTGCGTGGGATGGGTCCGCCAGGAAAGGCGGGCTCGAGATCGGGGAGGAGCTTTTTCCTGGAAGGCTCTGCAAAATACTTGATCTGAGCGTCGACAGCTTCGACGGCACCGCGGACCGTAGCAGTGGTGCCGTCGGGATCGGAGATGTAGGTGGCAGCGCCGCCGATAACGGCGGAGGCAGCGGCGAGCTGGGTCAGACGGCGCGACCAGGAGGTGGCAGAAGGGGCTTGTTGGGGGGGATGCGGAGCTTGTGGGATTGAGGCGGACGCCAGATGGCGCAGCGAGGCCAGGCCGCGACCTACGGGGTGGGTGGGGGGTGAGAGGGCGTGGATGAGACGGGTGACGACTAGGGGGGTGGAGCGCGAGTACTGGCGCGAGGCAGGAAGCATGGTGGATGAGAGTGCTGGGAGTCAGTGGGGAGCGGAAGGGGTGGGGGCGCGAGGGGAAGCCAGGGTGAGGTTGCGGTTGGGACCTGGGGTGGGCGATGGATGTGAGGATGCTCGGACGAGGTTCAGAGCAACTAGCCGAATGGTTGACGAAGGAACGTGGCATGCAGAGCCCCTTGGGAAGTGGTTGATGGATGCCTTTACAAGTACGATGTGTACAGGTGCATGCGCACCGTCGGCGCTTTTCGCGTTATTGGTCGGCTTGTCCGTTTCTGGCCCAATGAGTCATTGACATCCCTAGATCTGCTTTCCTAACGTGTACACGTGGGAGCCCTGTATTTCAAACGCGTTCTGGCCGCATGTAAATCCGACACACAACCTTATTAAGGTTGTCCGTAAAGTCACGGAAACGAGTGTTTTGGCGGCGTGTTTGCTCATATTTTCTAAACGCAAAAATTTCAGACAACGCGTTTGGCAAAACTCACGTCATACCGAAAACTAGGGGCATGTGAGTTTTCCACGAGTTTCACATCCGCCTGATCACAGAAGTGCCGGATCGACCCGCCTTGAAAGAAAACGAAGTGGGTTTTCCGTTCTTATCATCGGCAAAAACCAGTCTCAGACTGCACGGGTCGTGTCGATATGCGTCATGGACGCCTATCGCTTCACCTGCGCAGAGTCCATCAACGGATCAAAGTGCGACAGGATCTGCCACAGATGCCGCCGAAGCAACCGCGAAAGATAGACAACTAGAAGCTTCTAAAAAGCGGTCCTCTCCAAACGGCCCCCCTCTGCCTGTCAAGAAGACGAAACACATCGCTCTTTCCACTGAGAACCATTCTATCCTTGTGGCGAGCTACAATATTCGCTTCAGCGAGCATTCGCGCAGGTGCACGTGATCTGTTGAGCGACACAACATTGTGCCAGACTTGCGTTTGTTGCCGGCAGGCACCATGTTGGAGGTCAGTCCGCACAACCCGTGGCGGAATTTTTCAATGGAGGGTTTACTCAAAAAAAATGATTTCGTTCTCAGGCCAAATGTTGTGAACCGTATGCCACCCACCATACGTGTCTCACAAAAAGCTGAGGAAGCCAAGTCATTTTTCGCTAAATCGACGAGTTAGCGAAACCACGGACTCGGTTTGCACCCTCTTCTCCGCATCGCCTTATTCCACTTTCCTCCCCACCCCCGCCCTCATCTTTCGGTCTCATAGAAGTTTCGCGGCGGTGGGTGGCGACGAGTGAGAGCCGTTATGTGTAGTACTCACAGATAAACCATTTTTGAAACGGCGTAAACCCCCAAAACCAGTATTTTCGAGGGAAAATTCAGAACGGCACATGACTCAAAAGCGCATTCTTGTGCTTTTAGCCATTTCATTTTTTTGCGGAAACTCTCTAATATCGGGTTTATTTTACGTCCAGCCTTTTTTTGTGGACAAATGAAAAAAAACAGCGCGTTATTTTACGGACAACGTTGATACAGTAAGACCATCCAACAGTGAAAATGTCCACGTGGACACGCGAAACCATGGCACACGAAGCTTACAGCTGTTCCGTCTGGGCACTAAATAAATTGCAACAAGCGAAATGTATTGGTGGTGGGTAAGATACAAGAGCCTTCTGCGGCGTAATTACATGCGAGGAGGTAGATCTCAGATCTCTCGACCACCTTGTCTCCCAATGCACGCACTGCCCCCGCTTAGCCTCTGGACGGCGCGCATTCCAGTTTCCCTCCCCCCCCTCCCCCCCCGCCCCCGCCACCCTGTTTACCGTCCTCACTAACCACTCCTTCCTCGTCTCCCCTTCGCAGATCCCCCCGCCTTCCCCCTTGTCCTCGCCCCTACGATGTCGCTAACGCTAAAAGCCAAGTGCTTCAATGGCCAATCGTACGACCTGAAGCTACCCTCGGCCTCGATCCCCGTCTCTGACTTGCAGGACCAAATATCCACTGCCTCCGGCATCACTCCCGACCGTCAAACCATCCTCTTCCGCGGCCAAGTCCTAGACCCGACCACCTCGACTTCGGACTACCCTCTTACGGAAGGCGCGATAATCTCTGTCGTCAGACGCATCGGCAAGCCCTCCTCAAGACCCCCCCCAGCTGCCACCAAGTCCGCCCCTTCCCCCTCTGCTGCTGCCGCCGCCCCCGCTGCAACCGCCACAGAGACGCTGCCTTCATCCGGCCCTGTACCTGCTACGGGTGCCCAGCCTTCCATTGAGGAGATGATGCGTGCGATGAACATGGGGGCGTCAGGCGGCAACCCCGCCGCCACCCCGCCAGACTTTTCCGCCTTGCTCAACCAAATGGGTGCCGCTGCGGGTGCTGCGGGTGCTGCGGGCGCCGCGGGCGCCGCCCCGGGCCCAGGTGCGGGCATTCCGGACCTTGCATCATTGATGGGCGGCGCGGGAGGCGCCCCGCTTGGTGCAGGCGGGACCCCGGCGAATATGGAGCAGCTCCTCGCACAACTGCCTCAGATGATGAATGGTTTGATGAAGACGCCTATGTTACAGGATTATCTCAACGACCCCGAGAAGCAGAAGCAAAGCCGCGAGGCATTGTTGAGCAATCCTATGTTGAAGGGGCTGCTAGACTCGGACCCGGAGTTTGCAAAAGTAGTCAATGACCCGGATAAATGGCAGCAGAGCATGCAGGCCGCAAAGAGCCTCTTTAATGTAGAAGGGGAGACAGCCGCCGCAGGTGGGGACGGCGCGTCTGGAGCGGTGACGGATGGGACTGCGCCGTCGGCTACGGAGCGTTCGCTGAAAAGCGCAGGGTCGCGAGTATCGGCCGCGGAGATGGCACCTCCGGGGATTGACATCAAGAAGTTATCGGAGAGCTACGGGCATGCACTTGGGCAGAGTTTGATCAACTCGGGGTTGGGGTTGGACCCGGACCTGGTAGTAAAGGGATTGAAGAGCGCGGTAGATGGGAAGTCGTTCCCGATGGCGCTGCCGGAATATGAACGGTCGATGGCATCGTTGCAGAATATTGCTTCAGAGTTTCTAACCAAGGCCAACCTTGATGACGCCAACAACTTCTTCCAGGAATTTAAGGCGGACGGGCAGGGGGTGATTTTAGAAGAAGGGAAGGTGGCGTATGAGCGCGCGGATGTGGAGCCGGATGCGACGCAACCGGCGGCAGAGGAGACTTCGACAGTGCTTGTAATTGTGACAGCGAGGTTACTGGATGGGCGGCACTTTTTCACATGCCCGGCTGCGGATGAGACGGGGGAATCGGTTCATCCGCTCACCCTTCCGCTGAAGACTGCGCCGCCGGCGCTCTCTAAGGGGATTGTGGGGATGCGGGAGAACGAGTCGCGGCTGTTGTATGTGCACCCCGAGGCATGCGACGGCATGTCGGACATGTTTGGAGATTTGCTGCCACCGAATGCGCTGCTCATTTTCGACCTGCAGTTGGTTAGCGCTAATGCTCCAGAGGAGGAGGCGGAGGCGGAGGCGGAGGCGTAGCCAAGTATGAAAGAGTAGATCTTAACGATGGAGGGTCAGTGGTGGCTCGGCGAGAGGGAGAGACGTTTGGTGAAGTGCGATGTAGACGGAGGCTAAAAGAACGTGAATTTGAGAAAAAATTGGACATTGTGTTTGTCCTCCAAAAAACATGCAACTCACAGAACGAGAGAGTCAGCATTGTCGCCCCTTACGCCCTCCTGCGCCATCCGGTTTCCCTTTCCACCCTCGACGTCCCCGCGCCCTCCCTCTGTACCCTATCTGCCCTCTCCCGTTTCCCTTGCGTTCCCTCCCACCTCTCGCGATCCCACTTCCTCCCCCTTCCATTCCCGCACCTCCCTGCCCTACGCAATCCTGTCCGCCTTTCACTCTGCCTCCACTCGCCGTTCCCTCACCTGCAACAGCTCGTTACCTCGTCTGAAGTCCGCATCCCACCCTCGCCGTTGGGACCTCACCCCCGGCTCCAACCCTTCGCCATGACCTCAATCTCCCAAGACGAAGACCTGGATGCCGCTCTCTATCCGATCGCCGTCCTCCTCGACGAACTCAAGAACGAAGATCTTGAGCTGCGTCTGAACGCCACCCGTCGCATCAAAACCATCGCCGAAGCCCTCGGCCCCGAGCGCACCCGCGGCGAGCTTCTCCCCTTCCTCGCTGACAGCATCGATGACGAGGACGAAATCCTTCTTGCCCTAGCCACCGAGTTCGGCGACTTCATTGAGGAAGTTGGCGGCTCACCGCATGCGTACGTCCTCGTCGAACCCCTCGAGACCCTCGCCACTGTCGAGGAAACTCTCGTCCGAGAGAAGGCCGTCGAGAGTTTGCACGCTCTATCTGCCACCATCGCAGACCTTTCCGATACCGATAGCCGTACCCTCCACGTCGACCACATGTTTCCTTTGCTACAGAGACTCGCCTCCGGCGACTGGTTCACCTCAAGAGTCTCCGCCTGCTCGCTTCTCCCGGATATATACAGGCGCATTCCGGCTGACGAGGTCAACGCCCGTACAGAGGTCCTCAATCTCTTCAAATCCCTCGCGGAGGACGAGACGCCCATGGTTCGTCGGACTGCCGCCGTCGAGATTGGAAGGGTTGCCCAGTCGCTCAACAATTTGGACCCTACCTCCATCCGTAACGCATTAGTGCCCGTATTTGCCGATCTCGTCGAAGATGATCAAGATAGTGTCCGTATCGTTGCCGTGCAAAACGCCGCAACGTTTGCGGGTGTCGTTATGAAGCAGAAGACTGGCGACGGAGCAAGTGATATGATGATGTCCGCTGAGGCAAACGGATCCGAGACTGACCTTGCCCAATCGGAGAAGCCTGCTGAAGAGAAGCCCCCCGCAGACACCGAAGCCGCTCAGACTAACCCGACTACTGAGACGAGCACACCCTCCGTCAACGACCCATCCGATTCCAAACGTGCAAAAGATCGCGTTATTGAACTGGTACTTGGATTTACTACGGACAAGTCTTGGCGGGTTCGTTACGTTGCGGCTGATGAATTGAACGCCTTATGTGATGCTCTAGGTTCAGAACCCACTAAGAAAGACCTCCTCCCTGCGTTTGTTAAGCTTCTGACGGATAGCGAACCAGAAGTTCGAACTGCCGCGGCGAACAAGGTTACTGCCGTTGCACAAAGGATCATAGAGCTCCTTCCGTCTGGTGAGGGATCGGAAACTGGTTTAGCACTGGTGGTGCGAGAAATCGTACCGGTTGTCGAGGAAATGGTCTCTGATGCATCGCAACACGTACGTTCCGCGCTGGCCTCTAACATCATGGGTCTCGCTCCCAACCTTGCCACGAGCGAGGCCGTGAATACGCTTGTCGATGTGGTCATGGCTCTTTTGAAAGATGAAGTGCCTGAGGTGCGCCTCAACGTGATTTCTCGCTTGGAGAAAGTCAGTTTTATCATGTCGAGTGAGAAGCTAAGCAGGGAGTTGTTGCCGGCTGTTGTTGATTTGGCTGAAGACAAGAACTGGAGAGTTCGACTGGCCACTATGCACCATATCCCTTTGCTTGCCAGCCAGCTTGGTCGCGACTTTTTCGAGGAAAATGCCAAGCTGGGTGACCTCTGCATAAGTTGGCTCGGTGATTGTGTATATTCTGTCCGTGAAGCTGCTATTGCGAATCTAAAAGCAGTCACAGAGGTGTTTGGGATTGGATGGGCAAAGGATCACATTGTTCCGCAAGTGCTTGGGATGTACGACATGTCTAACAATTATCTGTTGCGCGTCACTTCTCTTCATGCTATTGGCGTTCTTGCAGAAGTTGTCGGTTCAGAAACTGTGGAGGAATTGTTTCTTCCAATTATTACTGAAAGAGCATATCGAGATCCAGTCCCCAATGTCAGGTTTTGTTCTGCCAAGACTCTGAACCTTGTCATTCCATATGTTCGCCAGGATGTCCGGGAGTCAAAGATTCGACCATGTTTACTATCACTTGTCGATGTCAACGAGAAGGACAAGGACGTTAACTATTTTGCCCAGCAAGCGCTGCAAAAGCTCGGAACCTGCCCCTCTTGACTTCATTTTCACAAACAATAAATCAACAGTCGTGTATTTGTACAGCGCAATCTACGAGAAGTGAAGACTTGCTCGAGGAGGAGCTGTTGTGTAGTGGCAACATATCTATTTCTTTTTGCGTTTTGCTGTAGTATTTAGCACGGAATTGGTTAGAAAGCTCCCGAAAACTGATCCAAATTTGCACGACTTAGACTTTGACTTCGAGTAATAAAGACTAGTTGAAGCACACTTGAAGCCTGTCGATGAAATGACCGGGTTTGAAAACTGTTTTACATGAACTGATCAAGGCTACAATATGCCCCCAAGATGTACACGATGGCTGATGTATGGATCGAGGGCAAGGCAAAAGTGTCCTTGAGGGCTTGCACAAAAGTGGGGACTCTGGACAGGGGGTGCCTGCGATATACCTTGCCGAGTGGTTACTGAATTCTATTTTAGGAAAACATTCGGATGAAGTGTCTCAGCTCTTCGCCGACAACGCACTTGCACTTAAATTTTTCTTTCCAATCTTGTAGTACACATCCATGAAGCTTCCCACTGCGTCGTACTTCTTTCGACATTTTTCATAGAGCGTCTTGTCAAACATCCGCCAGAAGTCCGCCTCATTTAGCTCAGTAATAGCGTATAGGGTCTGATAGCCGTGGTTTTTGATGAGCCATTGTTCAAGTTTGTGGCTTGCTTCTGCTGCATCCCATTTTTCACCTCGAAGAATATGCCCTGGTGTGTACCAAATGCCCAGATCAGTAAACATCTGCGCGTCCTTCGTGTCTCCTGGACCCAGCGGTGTTTTGTCGAAGTCCTTCTCGCAGTCAAGCATGGTGCCCATTCTTGTTTTAAACACGCGGTGGGGGCACAACCAAAGGGGGTATATGTCGTATTCATCATGCATGAGTTCCATACAAGCTGCGGTCTTGTGCAGGGGAACAAGGATATCTTGTGCGGCGAATCGCGAGTTATAGTACTTCCACATTTTTCCAAACATGGTAAGTTTCAGGAATGACACGCGAGGAGGCATAAGCCAGCCCAGAGCAAGACGGAACAGCGGGTGGTTTCCCATGGGGACCAACAAGTCTGCCTCCCAGTACAGGCTGCGCGTATGTCGATGATAATATGCGCGGGTAGGGACGTATTCTACAACCGGGGATCCGTCATCCGTCTTGTCTAGAATTTCTTCCTTGACGTATTTGTGGAACCAAGGCTTGTACCAGAATCCCATATTGTTGACCTTGCCAGACACTTTGACTTCGTCCGCCTCTGCGTAGTCTGCCGTCATGATAACGCCTCGCGTAGAGCTATAGATCAAGCCCTCCACGTACTCTGCCCACGGCTTATCTGTGGGCACGAGAAAGTGGTTCCAGGCCTTTGTCATTTCCTCGATACTCCCGGCGACGGGGTAGTACGTGACTTTCATGAACGGCTTAACTTTGATGAGGCGCATCTCAACTCCTACCAGCATACCGATAGCGCCGTACGACCACGGGATGGCATGGAACAAGTCGCTATACTCGTTATCTCTGGTGGCTGTGATGACCTCACCGCTTGCAATGACGACTTCCATGGATGTGACTTCGTCATAAAAGAAGCCGTACTTGTGACTGGAGCCTTCAATGCCGTAACCACAAACTAAGCCACCCACTGTAAGATCATCATACTCGGGGACGATGGGGACGCAGACGCCCATGTCGAGAAGGGTGGCGGTGAGATAGCCCATGGTAACGTACGGTTCCATTTTGACTACCATGCGTTCCAAATCGACGTCGACGACATCTGCGAGATCGGATAAGTCGACTTGATATCTGGCACCCTTCTTGTATGCAGAATCTCTCGTGGAGACGCTCCAAAACGAGGGCCTTGCAGTACAGATGAGTCCATCGGTGCCCTTGGCGTGTCCTTTGACAGCTTGCTGGACGCGTTCAATACGTGCGCAGTGTTTTTCATGGGTGGCTTCCCCGCGGAGACGCTTTTTGATCCAGGCGCGGGCGAGATGAAGACGGGCCCAGAGGAAGGAAAGGGGGAGGACTACAGGGATAATGATGAGCCACCGATACTGCATGAGGAAGTCCATCAGGTGGAAGGGGGCGCGGGCATGGTGCTTCGTCGATCGCGGGGGGGAAGTGGGATTCCACCACCAGTTTTGCGGTAGGGGTGGGGAGGGGTGCTCCTTTGTGATATCGTCCTCCGGTTGACACATTGTAGAAGTTCAGATGGAGGTTGGAAAGGTGCTGAGTTGCGCTGGTTGGGAGTGATGGGCTCGGACGCAATCGATAAGAAGTCGGTTGGTGCCGATGCGGGTAAAAAGGTCTGGCCCAAGGCTTATCATGAGCTCAATAGTGGGGCGATACGTAAAGAGAGATTCTTGCTTTGCGAGCCATCATTGGTGTTATCGATGGCAGCATGGCAGCATGCCACATCCATCACGGATCAAGGATGGAGGAACATAATACACGTGGCACGTGTAAACGACGAATGAGACACAACGCCATACAGTGGTGACAAAAACAATAGGACATATGACATTATCCGGTCCCATGGTGTAAGCGCTGAGATACAGGTAATGAACATTGCTGTAGCTGGAGCACGCGGCGAGAGGAGTCTGAATTTTAAACAGATTTGCAAACAAACAAACGGTTTTTAGAGATATCATCGGAGACATGCAAATGAGTCGGCAAAAACAATAGATACAGTTCAATGCGAACCTCAATATAGCGGGAAACACCTACTCTCTTCCCGCGAAACTTCGTCAATGTATAGCATAAGGACACGAGAAACAGATAGCCGGTACAGGATTGATGCTAAACAAATTTCCACCCGTCCAGCATGCCTCGAAAACCACGTTATCTACTTTCGAGAAAGGACAAATTATGGCATACCAATCCAACTGTTGGCCTGTGTCACGAATCGCGGAGGAGAGGGGGCGGTCTAGAAACGTGGTGAGTGCGTTTCTTCGGGACCAGGCTCGATATAATCGCAAGAACCCGAGTGGGAGGCCACGTAAGCTTACTGCAACTGACCAGAGAAGGATCAATCAAGAGGCCTCCAAGGGTGTTTTGAGCTCCGCTGGCATTGTTAAAGCCTTACAATTGAACTTTAAGGCACGGAGAGTATGTCAGATACTGCAGAAAAGCAAAAACCTGCGATACAAACGAGTAACGAGGACTGCGGCGATGCGTGAAAGGCATGACAAAGCTCTTGTCTCTTGGGCAATGGACAGGATGGCCTGGAGTCAACAAAAATGGGACAAAGTGGTGTGGTCCGACGAAAAAAATCGACTTAGACGGCCCCGATGGTCTGGCCTATAAGTGGCACGACCTTAGGAAAGAGAAAGAGTGGTTTTCAAGAAGACACAGTGGTGGCCAAAGGCTCATGGTTTGGGCTTGCCTCGCAGGAAATTTGAAGTCAAAGCTCGTGTTTCTGGTGGGTTCGCAAGACGGCGAGAAGTACGTGCAGACATTGGAGGAAAATCTCCTTCCTTCTTCAGAGGAGCTTCCTGTCACCCGGAACTTTTTGCAAGATGGTGCTCCATGTCACCGTTCTAAGTTTGCCAAAGACTGGCTTTTTGACAACTGCATATCTGTAACAATACGACTCATCAGTAGTCTGTATTCAAATACAAACGCCCAGGCAATACAATTCTGGACTTCGGGTAGATATTCTGCTTTGACGTCCGTTCGACTTATAAATCCAAATATATTTGGATTTATAAGTCGAACGGACGTCAATGATTAATCATATGATTCAAATGCAGTCGATTGCATTTGCTGACGACCACAGGAGCGGCGTAGGAGTATATGATACCGCGCTGCACGCCCAAGTCCAGGAAGCCGGGGGGGAGGACCCTGCGCATAAGCTCTCCGCATAAGCCTAAGCTAATAAAGAACAATACTGTCTACCCACGCTCCCTGCTCTACAGCTACCCGACCACGTAGTGTTCCATTTGGTAACATCGCGACTAAAAGAATCTCACGCCACACATGATGAATACGCGATCTTCGGTGGCTGCCGCATCTCTCGAAGAAATAATGGAAAAGATGCAAAAACTTGAAGAGACGGTCTCTGCCCAACCAACACTCATTGCAGAACTACAAAATCCAGAAGACCCGCAGCCGACAGCCCGACATGCCACAAATCCTTTGTAGAGTCTCAAGTCCCCACCAATCCCGATATTTTCTAGGAATACTTCAGACTGCACATCTACAAGAGTCAAAGGCTTCATTTTCAACATACGAAGAGTGGGCCGCTTATCCAACAACATTGACGAGAATAAATTAGTTCAGTTGGCCGAGTGTCACCTCCAGGACCGTGCTTCTACTTGGATTGCACGTTTAGAGGAGAAAGACGAAAAGCCGTTTACGTTGGCAGGACTGCAAGCAGCTGTGATCAAAAAGTTTGTGTCCTCAAATGAGCAAGCTAAAGCTCAACTACAACTTCTGACACTCAAAATGCGTGGATCCCTTGACAAGCACATTGAAGAATTTATTGACCTCACCAAAATTTGTGGCACTCCGACAAGCGAGGCCCACGCATTTTATTTCATGAGTATGCCGCATTCTATGAAAGGGAAGCTTGCAGAAGCCTTCCCAGAATCGGACCGCTCCGATATGCCCGAGGTTTTTAAGTGCACGCGAAAGTATGAGATGGCCGAGAAATGGGCAAAGGAGGATTCAGATAAGACACGCACTCCTGCCTTCAAGGAAAGGAACAAAAGCTGGCAATATAATAAGCAAAAGAGTGATATTCGTCCAAGCGAAACCACGACAAGAGCGAGAACCATTCATGACGTGGAGGTCAATTCCGAAACTTGGGGCAAAGCAAAGCCGGGGGAAGGGAAGTTGTAGCGAGAGAACGATCGCTGCTGTGTCTGTGGGAAGAAACCGTGGAGCGCACCGGATCATCCTTGCCGCAAGGATCTGCGACTCAAAACAAAAAACTAAAGCTGCTGCACGAAGGGGCGGCGACTTTGGACTGCTTTTCTGCAAACAGTCCAAAACTTTCCAGCGTAAGCACTGGAGGTAATTCTGACATGATTTATGACGGGACTTTGAATGGGATTCCGGTGCTTGCTGAGCTTGATTCGGGTGCAAGTCATTCATTTATGTCAAAACAGGCTGCACGACAACCACAGTGACTCTGGGTGATCAATCCAGTTTAAAGGCTACTGGCACATGCCAAGCATCCTTTAAAATTGCAGATTACGTCTGCAGCATACGTATATACACAATATCTATGCAAGAAAAACTCCATAATTTGCCTTACATTATTTTTGGAAGGTCTTGGTTGGACCAAGACAACCCAAGAGTGGATTAGAAAACACATTGTGTCCATGTGAAAAGACCCGATGGCCGAAGGTGGACCATACACCCGGGTGTATAGTCCACCTTCGGCCATCGGGTCTTTTCACATGGATGTAGTATAATGACCGGCGCGAGCGCACGGAGGTCATCGGACGGCCGTGTACAGTATACACGTGGGCGATTGTGCCCACGTGTAGCGAGCGCGCGTGCATGCCGAGCGGTCGTAATCTGGCGTACGTGTACAGTAGCACACGTGTCGTCCGTGCGGTAGTCTACACGTGTTACGTGTGCGCGTTAGCACACGTGTCGTCCGTGCGGTAGTAGTAATTATGGCGCTAGCTTTTCAATTGTGTACAGTACCCGGCACGCACTAGGCGGCAGGTACTGTACTACTGTACTGGGACAGGTGTCCGAGGCGTCCCTCTGAGGGGTTAAGACCTGACACCCGTCCCTACCGGTAAACTGGGGCAAGCTCGCCCCCGTCCCTTTCGCGCCTATATACGTCCGTTTCGGTTGTATATCGCGCGCGCTGGCTTCTAACTCGTTTCCGGTCGCTCCCGTTCACGCACCACGGGGCGACTGCGCGTAACCGGCCAGTGAGCCACTCCCTTTTCGCGAGCTCGTCCGATCGGTTCAATTAGCGCGTCGCGTCCACGCCGCGTGCTCCCTCGCTATAGCCTCCGCCTCTCACCCTACCCAGGGCGGAGAGGAGTTATCCCACATTTTGGCACTCTTGTGGAGGGGAATAACTCTTGAGGTTGAGCCGCACACGTAGTCGGTCGATCGCGCGCAGAACCGTACGGACGGAAAAGGTTGAGAAATCACCGCGTCGATCGCGAAGCGTATTCGACGATGAACCGACCGGAAGAAGGGGGAGACTCCGCCTCCGGGCGTCTGAGCACCCGCAGTGGCAGTGGCGCACCGCGCCCCCGGGTGGAGAACCCGGAAGCCCTGCTGCGACCACCACCGCGACTGGGCCGCACGCAAGCGTCCGCATCGGATGTTACGCCGGTCGTGTCGGCAGGCACTGAGAATCGCGTCCGATGGATGGTCGACGCGATTCAGCCGCGCATCCAGGCCTGGGTCGAGGAGTTCCTCGCTACGGAACTCCCCCAGGTAGCGCGCGTATGCCTCGACCGAACGGTGCCCGCGCTCGTGGACGCGCACATACGCAGCGCGATACCACCGCTTTTGGACGAACTTCTACCCGCTCAAGTCCACTGCAGGGTGGTGACCGCGCTCACCACTGTGGACGAAGAATCCCCGTCCGGTACGGCTATAAAGGGAGCGATCAGCTCCGCCGTGGCCAATCGTCTGGCCACGACCTTTCCCGCCGAAGCAGGAGTCGACGCGCACGCGCAGCGCGACTCAACCGCTCCGGATTTTACGCTACCGCACGCTGAACCGATCGGCGCCGCGCCCGGGATCGGTATAATGGCCCCTCACCCGGAGGGTAAGACCATTTACGTCCCACCAATTTATGGTGCTACAGGAGGGCCCACAGAAAATGGCCCTCCCGTACTCGCCGATACGGCTGGCCCCCCGCGGGACAGAAAACCGCCCGGGGCGCGTCGCGACAGAAAAGCGACAGCCGTATCGGTCGATCAGAAGAAGCGCACCCGGCGCTCAAGGATATAACTCGGAGGGTACAGACATCCCCTCCGAGGAAGACGACACAAGACGTCGCCACAGGGCGACGCGCAAGAACGGCGACGGACGCTACGCGCGGTACCGCGATGCCGGAGGGGTCGGTTACCCCTCCGATGATAACCGCGAAGGACGCTATACGCAATACCGCGATGCAGGAGGAGGTGGATACCCCTCCGATGACGAGGACACCGAGTCGGACGAATCGCGCAGAAGCGACCGCAGAGGCCGCAATGCGCGCGACCGACGTCGG